AGTGGCTTCTCTTTGTTGCGGAACACGGGCTCTAGGCACGTGGGCTTCAGTAGTTGTGGCTCGTGGGCTTAGTTGCTCCGCAGCATGTGGGATCTTCCTGGACCAGGGCTCGAACCCGTGTCCCCTGCATTGGCAGGCGGGTTCTTAAGCACTGCGCCACCAGGGAAGTCCCAACCCCTATTTATTCTTTAAATCTTCCTGGCAGGCTCCACCCTGTTCAGCCCAAAGTGGGGGTGAGGGTAGACTTCCTTCCGCTGAGACAGCCCCTGGACCACGAGTGCTGCATCTTGACCCAACCATTGCCACTTAGGCTGGGCAGGAAGGTGTTCCAAGCTGGTAAGCGTGCAAGGCTGGAAGGAAGGGTAGGAGGGGGTTATTAAACTGCAGGGACCTCTCCTAGGGCAGATCAGTTTTCCCCAGGGTCCCCGCATATTACCTTCTCCCCCTGGGCTGCAAGCTGGGAGCCCTGTCTGGGCACTTGACTTTCCCTTGCCCTCAGTCTGCCCTTGAGAAGAGATGGAAGTGGCCAACTGGCCAGTGAGGCTCTTCCGCCCTCCACGCTCGTACCCGAGACCATCCAGAGATTTTGCTATTGATCTGGAGCCGTCTCTTCTTAGCCAGGCCTGGGATTCCTGGTATTTTTCATGCTTCCAGCTTTCCCTGCACAACTAGCTGTTGGCAGAGCTGTCTCATAAGAGGCCCATGAGAATATGGTTCATCCTTAGGAGGCAGAATTAGATGCATATGATGAAGTCAAAGTCACCTGGGCAGGTGGAGGAGGGAGGGGAGGATCCAGAGCCCTTGACTAAAAGGATCTTTGCCAGGGATGGAGTCATTCCCGCCTCCAGGCTCCTGTGCTCTTCAGGGCTGTTCCAGCCCTGGGCCATGGTGGATGGACAGACAGTACACACCTTGGGGTGGGGGGGGCACACATTCCCAGGGTCCACTTCCCTAGGAGAACAGCATGAGGGCAGGGCTTAGCCCCCATTTCATCAGGGTCTGAGCTGCAGGGCCCAGTGGCAGACTCTGGCTAAGACCAGCCCAGGCTCGCCCAGCTGCCTTCACCCATGCTGCATCCTCCTTCCCTGCTTTGGTCCTGAGCTGCAGCTCAGTCGCTGCTGTGCACGTCTGGACGCGGCGCTGAGTCCTGGCTGCAGGGCTGTCCCAAACCCCCAGGTCCCACTGTGTGCATGTGGGGATTGGGTGTAGTGTAGAGTTGCAGGGGGTCCGGGGTAAGGCCAGCAGATAGAACCCCCTCCAGGCTGATCTCTGCCCTGCCCTGGGCTCTGCCAGGGCACGTAGGGCTTGTGTGGCTGCCAGCCGGCCAGGGGTCTGGGGTCTCTAATGGTCAACCTCCTGGTCAACCCTGGACGGGGGCTCCAGTCCAACCCTACCCTCCTCTTCTCCCTTCGCTTGGTTGCCCCTCCCCCATCACAAAGGTGCTCTGGCCGTACCCTTTGGATCCAGCACTGGGGTCCTCCGCAGCCATTCTCTGGGCGGCTTTTATTCCCCACCCCACCCTCTCCACAGAGCAGTCTCTCTGGCAAACCCTAGGTTGATTCAGTAGCAGGGAAGATGAGGGCAGCTGGAAACAATTCACTCCCCCAGCAGCCAACGTCTGGTGGCTGCTTGACCTTACATAGACTGAAGTCAGCAAGCCCCAGGCAGAGAGCCCAGGACTTTAGAGGTCCCCTCCTTCCCCCACCCCCAGCACCCCGACATCCGGTGTGTCACCCCACACTGCAGAGCCTGCTGCTGCCACATCTGGCGTGCGAACCCCCTTTCCCCCCTCCCTGGCAGGACCCATGTCCACTGCATCTCAGCCGCACACTGCCCCTGCCTCGCGGCCGCCCCTCCCACCCACTCTCCGCTAAGGTCTGGAGCCCTGTTTCTAGAGCGGGGGTGCTTAAACCCTTTGCTTAGCCTGCACTTAGTGCGGCCTTCGGCGCCCCCAGATGGGGCCCCCGCACCTCCTTCACGCGCCCTCCCTGCTTGCAGCCCCTCCTCCAGCCTGACCACACCAGCCTTCCAGCCCTCGCCCGTGCAACTCCCCCTTGCCCGTCACACAAGGGTCACTTCTGGAAATCCCTCCTTCCCACTCCACTAAGACTCCGCAGGCTGTCCTGGGCCCTCTCTGATGGTAGAATGCTGCTCGTCACTGGGCTGTGTCCTCCGCTTGCCCCCTTGAGCTCAAGCAGGGACTTGGACCTACGGGCTGGGTGCTGGGCCCAGAGAAGGTGCCAACAGGGAGGGCAGATTCCATAACTGGGAGGGAGAGAGAAAAGGAGAGACCCAGGGATCAGCCTGGAACTGAGAGCGGCTTGTGCACTCCACGGATCCCTAGGGGAGCTGGAGCTGGTGAGAGGTGAGCAGCTGCCACAGGGATTTGAAGTCCCTGAGGGCGCCTTTGTCACTGGCCTGCAGCAGGGGGCATTGCCCCTCAGGCACCCTTCGGCTGAGCGGAGGGACCCAGATGCTAGCATTCACTGAACCAAGGCCAGTGTCTGAGTCTGCAGACCTGAATGTCATCAGAGGCGTTTAGAGGGGGACCCACTGAAAATCAGGGAAACGCTTGGCGAGGCCGGGGACAGCAGTAGGGCAGGGACTCACCAGGCATCTCAATGCCCAGAACTGGCCTCTCCCCGTGGAGACCCCGGGACCTGAGCCAGCCTGCCCCACCCACCACTCCGCCCAGAGGTGCTGCCCAGATCCCACGTCTTCGGAGATGAGCTCTGGGCGTAGGGCCAGCCCAGCCCCAGGCTCCCCTCCTGCCTCTGCCCCGCCCCCCACTTCCTCACCTCCTACTTTGGTTTCCCACGGAGACTGCCGCCTGTTTCCTTTGCAGGGATTGAATTCTTCACTTCCTACCTCCCTCGTGCCCCAGCTGTGACCCCAGTGTTGGCCTGAGCCCCCAGATCTATATTCCATTCCAATAGCACCGACAGCACCCAGGCGCTGACCCCTGCCTACCCCAGGCCATGGCCCTGGACTTTGGGCCTGAGACCTGGCAGCTCTCTCCGGGCCACTTTGCAGCCTCGCCCCCTCGAGTGGCCCTGGCCCCCAGGCTCAGCTGCATCCCTGTCCTTCTCCTCCTGAGGCCCCACGGAGCCTGATGCGGCAGCACTTCCAGCTGTGGAGCCCCCACCCCCACCCCGCCAGCCTTGTGTCTGAGTTAATCTGACCTCCCGTGTCTGGGGCGACGCAGATGGCCCTCTGCTCCCTCCAGGACGAGCTGTGTGAACCTGGGCAAGTCTCTTCACTTCTTTGAGGCTCACTGCCCAGTTGTCAAGCAGCAGTAACCACACCTCTTCTCGGGGCTGATGTGAGGATTACCTGGTCAAAAGCTCAGAAGTAGCTCTCCCACACGCCCAGGGCACCAGTGGAGGAGCTGGCAGCCCGGCAGGCTTGCAGTCACTCTCTCCGACCAGATTTGGGCACCCGGCCACCCCCGTGGAGGTCAGGGCCATCCTGTTGCCAACCACAAGGGCACTGGCCAGCAGAGCGAGGGTGAGAACTGGACAGGCTGACTGGGTCGTGGCCACGGGAGCGTGGAGGCATCCAGGAGACATCTGAGACGTGGGGGGGTGTGCGTCTCGGGGAAAGGGTGGAAGATTTAGGCAATCAGAGCTCAGGAAACCAGGTGGGAGGGCGGGTGGACTGGGCGGCATCCTGGCTGACAGGCCCAGACCTGTGCTGCCAGCTGGCCCAGCACCGTCCTTGTGCCAGGTGTTTTCTTCCCTGTTGGCCTCCTTCCAGGTTTGGCGGGGCCCTCAAGGGCCGGGACCTCCTTTGGCTTTACGCCTGCTCCAGATGTGCTGTCCCAACAGGGAGCCCGCACCAGGGAGGAGAAACTGAGAAGTTGGACGGCGTGAGCAGTGGTGTGTGGATGCCCCAGGCCCCGCCCTGCGGGTTCTGCTCCTCTCAGGGACCCTGACACAGTAGGGCTGTGCACCCGCAAGCGTCTGGCCATAGCCCCCGGCTCTGGGACCTTGCTGGTGGGGAGAATGTGAGGTCTCAAAAGCCCCCATCTACCTTCTCCCTCCCCTAGGTCACCCCGAACCCTCCTCGGGCAGGGGAGAGGGTCAGGGCAGGACAAGGACAAAGGCCGAGGTAGGTGTGGGTGTTCCTGCCGGCGACAGTCAAGGCAGGCCCTCCTGTAGCCACTGCTTCCCCTGGCAGGTCTTTGCCTCTCTTCCACCAAAACCTAGGCCACACCTGCCCTCGCTCTCTGCAGGGCACCCTCAGGCCTGAGGGCCCAGGCCCCCTGCTACCTGCACGGCCTGGCCTGGCGGGAAAGGTCCTTTGACGAGGCCAATCTCCCCTCAGAATGCCACCTGGGGTGGCCACCCCCCCCCATACCATCTACCTGGTCCTGCCCCTTTTCCCCAGGATTAATGAAGTTATGAGGAGGGCAGGAAGGAACTCTGAGCTCCCAGGAAGCTCCCCTCCCCAGACCCTGCCCTGTCCCCCCTCACCTGCCCCCTGCCCAGGTGTTCCTGAATGCCTAAGCCTGGGCCAGGCGCATCTCCTGGTTTCCCCTGATCCCACACCTGGCCCTGGGTTGGTTTGTTTTTTTCATAAATTTATTTATTTTTGGCTGCATCGGGCCTTTGATGTGCGGGCTTTTCTCTAGTTGCGGCGAGCGGGTTCTACAGCGCAGGCTCAGTAGTTGTGGTGCACGAGCTTAGTTGCTCCGCAGCATGTGGGATCTTCCCAGACCAGAGCTCGAACTCATGTCTCCTGCATTGGCAGGTGGATTCTTAACCACTGCGCCACCAGGGAAGCCCAGCCCTGCGGGTTTTATTGCCGTAAACAATGACTGTTTCTCTCTTACTAAACAAGGGACTGGAGGGCAGGGCTGTGCCCTGTGATGGATACCACTGTACCCACAGGGCCCAGCGTGGGTCTTGGCACACGCAGGCCCTCAGCAAAGGTGATGAACGTGTGAACCACCAACAACCCCTATGTCTCCACAAACACACCAGGGTCCGAGGCAGGGGCAGGCAGTTGTTTCAAACTTTATTTGAGAAAAACAGAAGGTAAAGATATCAAAAGAGTTCAGAGGTTTGGTGGGTGGGGACGGTCAGTGATGGCTACTGTGGGGTGGGCAACTAGGCTAGGGCCTTTACTTGTTTCCAGGCTGTTCAGACTTCCCAGCTTCTGGGCCCCCAAGCTGGGCACGCGCCTCGAAGGTGACAGGGATGGTGATCTCTGCCGACTGGGTGGCTGGCTTGGGCAACGGGGCCTCCACTGTGAGCGTGCCCTCGGGGGACAGGGAGGAGGAGACCTGGGTGGGGTCCACACCGGGGGGCAGCCTGGACATGCAGAAAGGGAGGAGAAGCATTACACACCTGTGTGTCCCTGCGCCCTCCTCCCGTCCCCCCAGCTCTGGAGCCAGGACTCACGTGTATTTTCGAGTGAAGCACCGGGAAATGTAGCCGTGCTCGTCCTGTCGCTCTTCGTGCTTGCCTGAGGAAGAGGGGAGTGGGGGGGGGGGCGGGTAGGAGGTCAGAGGAGGCAGGGAGGGGCGGCCTCTCCAGCTGGCGCACATCCAAACGCGTCCCACCTGGCGGCCAGGACTCAGGGCAGGCAACACTGACTAAGGGATTTGTGTGCCCCAGGCCGTCCCGGAATCTCAGAAGCTTCTGGAAAGTTCGGTTCAGGGGCTTTGGGAGCGGTGAGGGGGGCCGCAGCGCCGGGCACGCGCACACGCCCCCTCCGCGGACACGGGCTAGGGGCGGAGACGGCGTGGGGCGGGCGGCGACGCCCTCTTCATACCAACCGCCGGCCGAGGTGGGTAGGCGCGCGCGGGTGGGGGCGGGGAGAACTGGTCCCTTGGGGGTGGGGCTGGGGCCGTGGGGGGGTCTCCGCTGGAAGGGGGCGTTTCTTCCCTTAGCGTAGACTTTTTAGGGCTAAAAGATCCATTAAGAGCTATCAGCACCCCCGAACTCCAGAGGAGTGTATACAGGCCAGGGGCAGGGCAAGGAGGCCCGCCCCGCGCCCCGGGCTCTGCCCCCGGGTCCTCGGCTAAGCTTTCACTTTCCAGCCCCCGCCCCGCCGCCCCCCGCCCCGCATTTCAACCCAGGTCCCTGACCAGGGCTCCTCCCCAGGACCGGCGAGAGGCCGGAGGCCGGCGCCCCAGTCCCCGGGGGGGCTCACCAGTGATCTCCACCACGCCGTCCTTGGTCTTGACCGTCAGCTCCTCGGGGGCGAAGTGGTTGACGTCCAAGGACACGCGCCAGCGGTCGGCAGTCTGCTGGATCTCCGAGAAGCCGCTGCTGAGCTGCCGGCTGAGCGCGCGGCTGTAGGCGGGACCCTCGATCGCGGCGGCGGACAGAGGGCGCACGTAGCCCGGCCATCCGCTGTGGCTCAGCCACTGCGACCACTCCTCGGGCAGCCGGGGCATCCCGAAGGCCTGGTCGAAGAGGCGGCTGTGGGCCGGGTACCAATCGCGGAAAGGGTCCCAGCTGGGGCCCCGCAGGAGCGAGAAGGGCACTCGGCGCTCGGTCATGCTGGCTGGTCTGGGCGCGTCTGGCTGAGATTCGGAGTAGTGCGAGAAGTGTCGGGCGCCAGCCCCAGCAGCGCTTTTATGGGCCTCCAGCTGGGTATTTTTAGCAGGCGTGTTTCAGGTCGCTATTAATGGCAGTGACGGGCCGGAGCAGCCCCTCCCCCTGCATTCCCCCCACTGCATACCGGGGCGCGGGGCGGGGCGAGGAAGGCCCTACCCACATCTGGAACCTTCTCTTGCTTGAGTAAACAAATGACTGGAGCCCCGATGCTGGTGCAGTACTCACTGCCGGACGCTCGCAGGCCTGGGTGCTAAAGCGCTAGGCCGCGATCTGTGGACAGTCTAGGAGGATAAAGCCGAGAGAGAGGTCAGGCTGCTTGTCCCAGGCCACACAGCTAGGAATTGGCAGAGCCGGGATTTGGACCCCAGGGTGTCTGAAATAATGTCTTAAGAAGCAGCATGGTTAGGAGTGTGGGCTCGGGAGCCAGACCGCCTGAGTTCACATCCAGGTCCTGCCACTCACTGGATGAACTTGTGCAAATGAGAGTCTTTGTGACTCAGTTTACCCATCGTGAGAATGGGGATGATGATGATGATGATGAAAATGCTTCCATCACTGGGTTGGTGTGAGGATTCAGCCACTTAATGCAAGTAAACATTTTAGTCCAGGACCTGGTACATGATAATGAATTATTGTTATTATTAGCTCCTTGGAGTTGAAAGAGGGGGGAGGAAAGAGAGCGTGTATGTCTCCCTGTCGCAGAGGCTGTGGCGTGTGTAGGTTTGGTCGTTTTCCCCTTGACTTCCCAGTGGGGCAGACCCAGATCACGAACCCTGAGGCCCCGTGCTGAGGGGGGTCAGGAGAAAGGTTACTGTCAAAACTCCCCATTATATCTGTTTTTCTCGAGGAGCTCTGGACAGGGAACTTGAAATGCAGCAACCTTGAATCTCATAGGGGTTTGGCACTGATTTTTTGTGTGATTTGGGCCAAGGCCCCTCCTTTTCCTCTTTGCAGATTATGATCTCAAAGCCCCTTTTGTTTAATATTCCCACAGCACAAAGGGAGAGGGGGCTCCAGGTAGTACAGCTCCTTCAAACTTGCTTGAAGCCTGAAGCCTGCCCCACCTCCTATCTGACCACCTATGGGATCCACGCCCTCGCTCCCACCTCTGGGAGAGGATGCTGCCCCTACAGTCCTGCCTTAATCCTAACGTTCCCTCTCTCTCCTGCCTTCATTGGCAGGACCCCAGTCCAGCCTTCCTTCTCCTGACTTCTGTCTTTTTATCCCTCCTTTTTAGATGGGGAAACTGAGGTTCAGAGAGAATAGGTGACTGGCCTACGGCCTCCTTTAAGACACTAGCAGAGTAAGGCTCTTGCCTCTCTAGTGCTCAGGGCTCTTACCCTCATGGGGCTCCCACCTTGGAGTCCCTTACTTCCTCTGCTTCCGAGACCCACTCTGTTTGCTGCCCCTCTCCTGGGGCTGGGCTGAGGCTGTACTCCTGCCAGTTCCACCCAGGACTTGCCCTGCCCCGCCCGGGACACCTGAGGGGCTGAAAGCCAGACTCCAGTCCACTCACCTCATTGAGCTGTGGTAGGGCTTCCCTGGTGGCGCAGTGGTTAAGAATCCACCTGCCGATGCAGGGGACATGGGTTTGATCCCTGGTCCTGGAAGATCCCACGTGCCGTGGAACAACTAAGCCCACGCGCTGCAACTACTGAGCCTGCGCTCTAGAGCCCGTGAGCCACAGCCACTGAGCCCGCGTGCTGCAACTACTGCAGACCGCGTGCCTAGAGCCCGTGTTCCGCAGCAAGAGAAGCCGCCGCAGTGAGAAGCCCGCGCACCGCAAGGAAGAGTAGCCTCCACTCGCCTCAACTAGAGAAAGCCTGCGCACAGCAACAAAGGCCTAACGCAGCCAAAAATAAATAAATTAATTAATTTAGAAAAATGAGCTGGGGTAGCAACAAGTCTCATGCCCTCTCTGAGCCTCAATTTCCTCTTCAAGAGAGCACTCCTAGATGTCTTTCTTTCTTACCCACCTGCTCCCCATCGGGAAAGAGCTGGGGTTGGGCCACAGCCAGAGGTCGCCTCTGGAAAGGCCTCTAAGCACCTGGGGCTCTCATGGGCCAAGGAGAGGAGGCAGACAGGGTGCCTGCCCTCTGCCCCGCCCCTCTTGCTGGATCACGTCAGGAGCCCAGTCTCCATGGGGAGCTACTCGCTGCCCCCAAAGGGTCTCAGCTTCAGGAAGCCCCAGGCCTTCACGCCCTGGCACTCCCAACCCCACCTATCCCCAGCTCTTAAAGTCAGGGTGAGGTCAGGAGCCAGGGAGGGCCCTCATCCGTCCCTGCCTGCCCACCTTGGCCCAGACTGGAGCCCAGGTGCCCCACCCTAGCGGGAGCTGTCAAATATAATCATGGGTGCCTTCAAGTGTGGCCCAGCCATGCTCTGGGTGGGGGCTGCCTGCCTGGCCGCCAGCACCTTGTAGGCAGAAGCTACCTTCAGAGCTCCCTTCATTTTGCCTGAAACCAAGGTGGGGAGGATCCATCCCCGTTGCCCCGGCTTGGGGAAGTTGTGCAACCCAGGGCTCCACCCCCAGCACCCAGCCCATGGAGGTGGAGGCAGCAGAACTGAGAATTCACATCCATCTTTTTTTTTTTTTTTTTTTAATCACGCCTTGGGGGGGCTCGTGGGATCTTAGTTCCCCAACCAGGGATTGAACCCTGGGCCTTCTGCAGTGAAAGTACTGCCAAATCTGGCTCCCTCGGCACCGATGCTGGATAAAAATATGGAGACAGAGAATTGGAAGATAAGAAATAGAGAGGCTTTTTATTTTCTTTGCCAGGCAAAGGGAAGACACAGTAGGCTAACGCCTCAAGAACTGCCCCTCCTTCTTGGGGAATCGGAGAAGATTTTATACGTGGGGCTCGCAGTCCGGGGTATATGGTAAGGATCAAAAGTAGTGGAGGTCTTGCATTTCTTTTCTTCTGCAAATTCATGGCCAAAGTTGGCATCAGGTAGCTCAGCAACTGGGTCTGATGTCCCTGAAGTTATGGGCCCATGACCTTCTTTCTGAAATGAAGAGTGCTACAGGGGAGTGTAGGGGGAGAAGAAATGCCAGGTGCAAAGGGTCATTTGTACGGAGTCAGAGAGTAATCAACTTTGTGAAGGACAAGTCTAGCTACAAGTGTTTGTTAGTAGTAACAGCTAAAGAATAACCAAGATTGCTTAACTCTTTCAGGCCTGTTTATGTTGTTTCCCCAGCCTGTTCATTGTTTCCTTATTTTCCAGTTTATCAGAAAAGTCTAATTTCTATTTTTGCTACAACAAAAGTGTGGAGTTCTAACCACTGGACTGCCAGGGAATTCCCCACATCCATCTTCAATGGGTCACTTCTCAAGGGAGTCTCAGATCAGAGCTGCCAATCATAAGGGAGGGGAACTGGGTAGCTCTGGGTGGTAGTAAGCGCGGGTAGGGGTGGAGGAGAAACTGGGTTTTGGAGTCAGACAAGGCTGGGCTTGAACCTGCTGCTGGCCTGGTGACCTCTCTGAGCTGGCACGTCCCCATCTGCAAGACGTAGCTAATAACACACCCATCTTTTTTTTTTTAACACACCCATCTTGCAGGGCTGCGGTGAATCTGTAACACGGTAACTCCTGCGAAGCGCCTGGTGCTCAGAAGTGTTCATTGTTATTAAGGAAAGAGGGCCTTTAATTTTGGATATTGAGGCTTAGATTAATGAGAATTACCTGGTTGTATGTGCTTTATAGCACGTTCAGGTATCTTATCAGAGTCCCATCCTGGAGATGAGAAAACTGAGAGTCACAACTGCCCCAAGGTCACAAAGCTGGTGAAGGATGGAGGGATTGGAACCCAGGCCTCCTGCCTCTCTATCCGGCAGCGGGGAGACTTCCCAGGCAGTCCAGGGAGGGCTGTGGGCTGTGGCTTGCAGGCCCAGGGTGAGGTGTGCAGCCCAGGGTTACCTGTGGGACGGGGAGGGTTGGGCTAGCCTCTCTGGGTTCACTTCCAGCCCTGACCAAGCACCCTTCCTCTAGGGTACTGAGCTCCCAGGGGTAGTTTTTCTGGGATTAAGAGGACAACTCCACCTGCAGGGATTTCCCAGAAGCCAAGGGGGTGGGGAGCAGGGGGACACTGCAGGGATTCCTTAATCAGAGGGGCCCGTCCCCTATCCCTAGCCCCAGCGTCTGGGTTACTCTGCCGCAGCTCCGAGAACAGCCTCCCAGCTTCCTGGCCTGGCCCTCGCCTGAGCACTTGGCCACACGAGCCACTCCCTTGGCAGGCTTTCGCCAACTCCAGCTGCCACAGCCCTTCCCTCCCTGGCCCAGCCTCAGAAAGTGCGAGAGCGTTCAGGCAGCTGCCCGAGCTCCCGGGAGAGGCCCGACAGCTGATGAAGCGCCAGCCGCTGGGCCTGCTGGGAGCTAAGAATGTGGGCAGCCGTAACGAGGGCGCATGGGGGCGGGGGGGCTCTGGGTCTTTCTGGAAGTGTCTAGACACTGCCCCTCCGGGAGTCCATTTCCCAAAACCCATCTCCTAGGCCTTCGGCTTCTGGCTGGCCTTGGGGTCACCTTGCCTCCATCACTGCTGGAGGGGTGCCAAGGAGGGGCCGGGCGGGAGGGCTGGGGATCCATCCTCCTACCCCTCCCACCCTGCTGTCCAGTAGAAAGAATCTGTCCAGCTTGGGAGTCTGGGGACGTCTACGTCTCTAATTCTGTGACCTTGGCTAACAGCCGGCCTCCGTGACTCATTTTCTTCATCTGTACGATGAGACCATCGGACTGGATGTTCTCGAAGGCTCCTTCCAGCGCTGGCGAATCAACAGTTTCTCCTCCACTCTCTACTCTCCCCCATCCCCCACGACCCCCCATCCCACCCAGGGATGTGTATATGGTGAGTGGACGCAGAGGATGAGGGAGGGCGTGGAGATGGGGCAACCCCTGCGGTGGCCGTGGAGGCGGGAGGCCCTGTGGCTGGAGCACCCTCCTGTGCTGGGCGTCCCGAGAGCCTTTCTCAGGTGGAGGGGGGCTTGGCAAAGGAAGGGTAGGCGCCTGGTGATAAGGCTGGTTTGCTGAGTATGCCCTCGGCTGAGAGAGGCGGAGGTGGGAGGGTCGGGGGAGTAGGCCAGGGGGCTTCCAGGAGCACCGCAGAGAGGCA